AGAGGAAATATGCATTCTCTTTAGGATCAAGAACAAGGGTGTCTGTCTTAAACTAATATATTGTATGCCACCTATAACTGAAAATGCTAAAAGAAGAACAAGGGTGCCTGCTACTATCACCATTTGTATTTGACACTTAATTGGAGGGTTGCAAATTTCAATAAAAAGAAACAAATGGTAAAAGGCATAGGAGCTGACATCCTATCTAATAAAGAGGAAATATGCTAATTGACTGCCACGCCCTCACAAGATAGTGGTGCCCACAGCCACAAGATGTCTGCACCCAGTCTCCTCAGCCCTGCCTCATCCAGCCTCAGTCCCCCAGACTCCTCAGCCCCACTTCATCCAGCCTGTTCCTAAGTCTCCTCAGCCCCACCTCATCTAGCCTCAGTCCTCCAGTCCCCTCACCACCACAGGGGAAAGTAGTTGGGGGCAATTAGGCTGGCAAAGGAGGGAAGTTAGGGACAATCATGCCAGCAGGGGAGCAGTTAGGCATCAACCAGGCCAGCAGGGGAGTGGTTAAGGAGCTATCAGGCTGGTAGACAGAGTGGTTAGGGGCAATCAGGCAGGCAGGCAGGCCAATGGTTAGGAGCCAGCAGTCCCAGATTTAGAGGGATCCCAGATTGGAGATGGTGCAGGCTGGGCTGAGGGACCACCTGCCCTGCTGTGCATGAATTTCATGCACCAGGCCTCTTGTATGGCAATTAAAAGGTAACAAAAAAAGAAAAAGAAAAAAAGAAAAAGAAAAAAAAGACATGAACTATTAAAATAAAACTTAAAAATCTAAAGCTTATTCTTTTAGTCAAAATGTAGAATTGTGAAGATGTGTTGTCCACTGAAAACAGATAAAATGCCACCAAAACTAGCCCATCAAGGGGAACACCACTTGAGAACTCAAAGGGCTGCCTTCTTGGTGCTGCTCTGTGACCCTGTATCAGTAACTTAAACCGCTTCAGTATAGACCCGTTGCCACAGAACTCAAAGTGGAGAGGAGGGAGGACCTTAGTCTGGTTTTAAAATAACTGCTTTGCCTCCATTTAAAGAGTCTTCCTCTACCAGGATGAGACAACTGTCTTCTGGAGGGAAAAACAAACCTATTTCACTTTTATTATGTCTTAATTATAGTGTCACTGTTCCTAGTGTTACACAACAGCATGGAATTCTGCCTGTATTGCCATTAAAAACTATTTTCAGTATGTGTGACTCAGAACAACATCTACTCCCTCAAATTTGACAAGAGGGCCTAAATTTGTAAAATTTTCACTGACAGGCAAGTCTGTAAACCCCTATAAAATGAGTGAACCTTCCCAACCTTCTCAAGATGCTGCCCAACATGCCTTAGATCCAGATTGAAATATGAACTAGAGATTGAAATATGAACTAGATATGGCTGTCACATCTTCAAAAAGCAATAAACACTTCAATATTTTAAATTAGAAACAAATCCAAGGTGTGGTAAAAATCACTGAAGAATCTATACTGGAAATGTAAGGAGATGAAAATATGTCAAAATTAAAGTGATCTGTCCACACAATTAACTCTCTGATTCACTTCCTCTCAATCCCCCTACTCCCATTTTCCAAAAGAAAGCACTTTAATTTTTGAGCTATTTCTATGGGTAATTTCCATCATATCACTAAACAAGGTACTGTATTAATAGATTGTAAAATCTAGTGATTTTCTATTGCGAGACATGAGGATTTAGCAAGCTTAACCACTCCATTCCATGTTCCCCATAGCTGTATGGCTTTTTATTTGCATCTCTCTTGGTTACCTCAGCAGAGCATGCTAACAACATCTATTTCCTAGGTCAGGCAATCTATACTGTCTTTTTAAGATCAGCAGAATGGCACTCTCTCCCTGCTTTCCTTCATTTCTCCTCACCAGTTTTAACTCCCAATAATTAAATATTTCCCATTTCTAATTGTGAAAAACAACCAAAACTCTACTATTGTCATGAAATTTTAAAATATTATTAGATGATGATTACTAGCTTTCATTTTTTGGGCTTTGTTATTCCTGCACAAATTTCAGAAAAAATATCCTCAATTGTTTCTAAATTTCCCATGCAATCAGGCATCCTATTGTTTCTAGAAGTTTATTATGAAACATTGAGACAGCAAAAAATTATCAAGAGCAATAAAGCAGAAATGCATGTACTATAACATAATTAAAAAAAAAACCCTATCAGTACGTATGTTTGAACACTGGGTACTCCTCACTGAGTGCATGCTCCTCCCTGCCAGAGGTCACCGCCGTTCCACAGTGAAGGCATTCCGACTAAAAGCAGCGTTGCATGCTTTAGAATGTTAGGCATGCACATTCTTCTGCAAGTCGATTTTTTCATTCAGTATTATGCTTGTAAGATTCTTCCATGTAATTGGTTTTAACAATATACTACAATTCGTTAGCTATAACCAGATTTTAGTTTCACTAGATGCCCTGTTATTCTACAGCCTTGGATAAGACATTTAAGATCGATTTCTTCCTCAGTAAACTGGTGGTAATAATAATAACAACTCCTGTTTCATAGGGTGGTAATAAAATGAGTTAGTGTATGAAGTGCTAGGATAAAGCTCTAATATTGAGTAATCACTTAATTATAACTATTATTGTCATCATTCAGAACATTCATATTTTGAGTACCTTGTTTCCTGTCACTATTGATTTCCACAAGTATCTTACATCAGATTGGTGAAACTAAGAGCTTATATTGAATTGTATTTTTCATTCTATCTGACAAAAATCCAGAAGACACGTTTTGTTTGCCAAATTAGACTCTTCAGAATTTTCCCTTAATGTCAGGTCTAATGGGTTTGGTAGGCATGATTTTATGAGAGATAACTACGTTTGCTTTTAATAATAATTTGTCTCCTGGAGGTAGAAATTCTGAACTGAGCATATCTTCAAAAGGCTAAATAAATAAATAAAACAAAGCAAAGAAAACCTCCAAGGTTTTTAAAATTTTGATATGAGAAATTATGGGTGACATCTAACAAACTGAGACTAGAGTTAATTAAAATAATGAAAGATACTAAATCTTAAGTAAGACAAGTGGTTATTTAGAGATAAGTTAGTCAGGTTTTTAATTTCTCCACAGAGTTTTGACCCAAATCATCACTGATTGAAAACTTTTAGTAATATCTGTCATCAGAGAACCTGGCCATGATTACCTGTATGTACAAATGACAATAAGCTCTACCTATACCGAACATGACGAATCCCAATAAATGTCTATAAAATTAGCAGGATAAATATTCCCAAAAGGTTTCATTACACAGACTTCTCAAAATTTACTTGGAACCCATGGTCTACGAAATCTCCACAGTTTTTATTTTTTAATATATTGAATATAAAAGTACTATATTTCAGAGCACATTAGACATGAATAATATAAAATATATTTCAATTTCTTATAGTGACAACCTCTCAAAAGAGAGAGGCAGATGCATTTAGAAGCAGTTCAGGCATTCTGGTACACGGAGATAGACCAGTTCAACCATATAGGACTGAAAGTCCAAAAAACGGCTGGGGGAACAGGGAGAAGATTAGCAGGGAAGGAAACAAATCCCTTTCTGGTTGTCCAAGTACAAATCTAAAGAGTTTGTACTTGAAGCCTTAGAATTCCTTATCACTTTCACAGCTCAGTAAATATTCGGTCTCTTGAGGTCTAAGGCAATTAGAAAGAAATTTCCTAACAAAAGAGATCAGTAACCAGTTTAGTTCTACTTATGCCAATGAAAGATTAACGACTATAAGAACTATTCTCCAATGTAACATCCCAGATATGACAAAGAGAAAATAATTAGAAGAGAAGAACCTTAAAAGAGCTATTGTAAAGGTAACAAATATGCTCAAGGACATTAGGAAAAAGCAAAATAAGCCAGCCAGAGAAAGAAAAGTATCGCATGATTTCACAATGCTCCATCCCCGCAGTCATACAAATCGGAGTCCTGCCCCAGAATATGCTACATTGGAGAAGTGTGGGATGAAAAAGATTATTTCTTTTTCAATAATGGTGACAAAACCAAACACATGCTCTATAGTGCTGCTAATAGTCATGTAGCCAGCCATGTAAGAGAGCTCTGTTTCAAAGAATCAAGCTGATGTGCAAAATAATGTAGAGGCAGAAATGGTTCAAGGGTCCTAATGACAACACTTCATCTTCAGTTGTGTCCTGGCCTTTCCCCCCTAAGCTATTATATATTAAGAAAAAGCGCCCATAGATGAAAACATTGCAGCACTGCGTCTTTGTGTCTGCAGGTGGGGAGGGACACCGTAGAGGTACAGTCTGCTAATTTTAGCATCATTATCAGCTTTTCTTAGCTTGTTTAACTATATCAAATTGCTATTTCACTCTGCAAACATTATTCTAAACATGGAAACACTCCATTTCTCTCAAATCTCAAACACTATCAGGAGATATTTATGTCTCATAGTTCAGAGCCATCAGATGGGACTCCTTCAGTTTCCCAACTATGCCATGTTCGCCTACATTGCACCTGTCCATCTTCCTTAAAGGCCAATTCTTCCACATGTGCTTGGATCTCTTGATTCTCTCCCCTTCCCACTTTGCCTTTAGGATTTTATTTCATTGGTTATTCTTTGTGTTCAACCTTTCCGTTAACCAGCAGAAATATAAATGCCATGGAGAAGGGACCTTGTCCATCCTAATCACTACTATATTTTTTGATGCCTCGCACATAGGAGGTACCCAACATTATTTGTTGGAAGCAAGAATAAATGAACAAAAAGTAGTAAAAGGATAATTTGCAAGAAGTCTTCCACTTCTGAAGTTCTATAATTCTATCTGGAGAAGACCAGTGCCACAGTGGATTTCAGTCTTAGGTTTAGAGGTTTTATCAAACTTTAATAAAAATACTTTTCTAGATCAACATAATTTTCTTTCATCTTTGGCTTTAGTTCATATAAATTCAGTTTAAATTTTGAGCCTAAAGACAAAGTAAATGAAATAGAAAATGACAACAAATGATGCTTACTCTTCTTTCCATCCATATCCGCATGAATTTTCCGAGCCAAGAACCCACTTTTGTACACAGCGGCATTTGGGTCGTGAGGAATGTCCAAGAATGGGTTGGTAGTGCTCCCGACACGACTGATGGTCTTTGGGTGTGTTCCATTAGCCTTCTCCTCAGTACCTTCCGATGAAGACTTTTTTTTCTCTTCATCATCTCTAAAGGGAAAAAAAACACCAAGACTGAGCATCTACCAATATTTCAATGAACAAAGTTATTTAATAGAATAAGTGATTGTGTTTTCTTTTTTAAATATATTTTTATTGATTTCAGAGAGGAAGAGGGAGAGATAGAAATGCCAATGATGAGAGAAGATCATTTATTGGCTGCCTCCTGCATGCCCCACATTGGGGATTAAGCCCACAACCCAGGCATGTACCTTGACTGGGAATCAAACCCTGAACTCCTGGTTCATAGGTTGATGCTCAACCATGAAGCCATGCCGGCTGAGAAATGATTGTGTTTTCTAACGGTTTAGCATGTAATAACAGCTATAATTTACTAAGTGTCTCCTCTGTGCCAGATATTAATGATCATGACAATCTTATAAGACTGACATTAGTAGCTTATACTGAGATAAGGAAACAGACTCAGAATTGAAATAAATACCGAGGGTACAGATCTAGTAATTAATGGAAGAGATAGTGAGGATATAATTGTAAAACCTCTGAAGCCTCTGCTCTTTCCACCCACTACAGTGCCTTCATGTTTGTTTTCTTTCAATTGAGTAGAAGTTCTTTAGCAGAGATCGTGATGTTAATTTTTGGTTACCTGCATGTGGCAGCATAACACCAAGCATGTAGAATACAACATATAATTATAAATCCAATGAATAGCATTTATACCTGACAATAACCAGGTTAACCTCAACTAGCAAAACCCCAGGTAAAGCTACCAGTGGATTAGGATGGTGGCGCCATGCACAGTGAGTTGGCATTTAATACCATGTTTTCCCGAAAATAAGACATCCTCCGAAAATTAGACCTACTTACAGGTTTCCTTCTGAGTGAAATATAAGGCATCCCCCCAAAAATAAGGGCTCCCTAGGCTAAATATGAGAGATTTGGTCCACTGATTCTGAAAGAAATGGAGTCACAAGAAATTCACCAGGAAATTCAGGAATTGGATTGTTATGATGATGTTCCAGAAGATGATGACATGATTGTCACTGAATAAATGAGTAAATTCTTGATACTGTAGGATTCACAGTTTGTCTGATTTGTGTTGACAACTACCATACTACCGTATACAGGTAATAAATTTCCTTTATTTTCATTTAACAATAAATGTGTACCGTATTCTTCTTCATGGAAAAATAAGACATCCCCTGAAAATAAGACCTAGTGCATCTTTGGGAGCAAAAATTAATATAAGACACTGTCTTATTTTCAGGGAAACAGGGTAGCTACTATTTTCAGAACAGTCATGAAAGTGGGGGCACCCTATCAGCCATGCTTGAGATTGTAATCACTCTGTGTAAGGAGAAAATGGATGGCTACATTCACTTTCTACAGAGGAGGAAAGAGCAGAAGAAAGTTAATAAGCTCTGAGATACCGCCGGGAAACAGAGCACAGTAAGAGAGCATTTGTCTCAGCTCCCGTTTTAATTTTCTGAATTATCCTTGGTTTCACTGTTTGTTACACTTCTATTATTGAACCCTTTATTACAATTTCAACCAAAATAACCACCAATAAAATATGTTTAAAATAAATCACAAAATTAATAATCATCAGAAGTGTCTTATTTGGTGATTAGAGAAAAATAGCCTTTTTTTTTTTTTCCTCCACTGGTATTTGATAAATAATTGTGAGATATATAAAAATAACACTAGACTCTAAGACAACTATATTTTACTTTTAATTTTATATTGAGATAATTTTGGATTTACAAATATACTACATAGGGTTCCCATATGCCAATCATCCTGTTCCCCCAATGTTAACATTATATATATCTACAGTAAAAGTTTCAAAACAAAGAAATTAACATTAAAAAATGATGAATTAAACTTGACTTAATCAGATTTCACCAGGTTTTTTTTCATTAATATTTTTCTGTTCTAGGATCCTATCCATTATCCCCCAGTGTGTTCAGTTCTCACGTCTCCTCCAGCCAGGTCTTTCCTTGTTTGTCGTGACCACGACACTTTGAAGGGTACTGGTCAGTTATTTTGTAGAATATCCTCAATTTAGATTTGTTTGATGTTTTCTCATAATGAGATTGAGGATACATATTATTGGGAAGGATGACATAGGTAATGTACCTTCTCAATGCATCAGATGTTTCATTAACCATGATCACTTATTTAAGGTGGTATCCAGCACATTTCTATACTATCAAATTATTATTTTTCTTTATACATGATTTGGGGGAGATATTTTTACCATGAAGATATCTTTCTTTTTAAACTTTTGATCAGTAATTTTAGTGTTTATTAGTGAATCTTGTGTGTGTCAATTACTGTTGTGATAATGGAATGGTGATTTAATTTCCTTCATTTCTCCTACATTACTAATTGAAACTTTTCTGTAAGTATGGACAATAGATATATAAAATTTTCTTTGGTTATAATCAAACAGTATTATTATTTGTTGTTCAAAATTTTCTAGCTTTGGCATTGGGAGTTCTATCAAGTAGGCTAGTCACATTAAGGTTATTGAGAACTTAAATTGTGAATAATCTAGTCCTGGTTGGTGTGGCTCATCCAGTTGGAATAGGGTCCTTATACAGAAAGCTTGTGGGTTCAATTCCTGGTTGGGGCACATGGGTAGGTTGTGAAGACCCCCAGTCACAGAGTGTATGGGAGGCAACCAATGGTTGTTGTCTGTCTGTCTGTTTGTCTATCTCTCTCCCTCTCTCTCTCTCAAGTAAAATCAATGGACATACCCTCAGGTGAGAGTTTAAAATAGTAAAAAAATAAAAACTGCATAGTCCTAATTAAGATGTGTAGTAAGTGAAAAAGTATATACCAGATTTCAAGATTTAATTAAAAAAAATTTTCAGTATTTTTTAAATGATTACATATTGAAATGGTAGTATTTTTTATACTCTGGGTTAAATAAAACTACATACAAAATTAATTTTCCTGTTTCTTTTTACTTTTATAATGTAGCTCCTAAAATTTTTTAATTACATGTGTGGCATGCATTACATTTCTCTTAAAAAGGGTTGTTGCTAGAAATGCTTGTGTATTTATGACATTGGAATATTAAAACCCAAAGACAATAATTTATATATACTGTATATAAAAGGCTAATATGCTATGTGTCCTTCCTACCATCTGACTGGTCCCTATGACGCACAATGACCACCAGGGGGCAAATGCTCGATGCAGGAGCTGCCATAATGTGCATTGTCCGGCACCACAAACCTGGCACTGACAAACCAACACTCGGCTTCCCTCAAGTGGGACACAGGCCCCGCCACCAACCTGGAGTGACACCCCACCAAATCGCAGCCAAAGCTGGGGAGACCCCATGGCACAAAATGTGGCCTATAGCCCAGCCTAGCCCAGAAACGGTCGCTGTGGGCTTCAGGTAATGATGCCACATAGCATTGCCTGGCTTCCACTCCCTAGCAACTAGTCTCCTTGGAGTTTCTTCAGCCCAGGAACACAAGTTGCTTTATAGCCAAGTGGAAACTTTTTACACTGTAACCAAAAGTCTGTCAAGCATTTTTTCCGTGCCTCATCTCATTTGATCCTCACAGAAGTCCTGGAGTAGGTAGATAGGAGACTCGGTGGAATTCTATTTTATTTTCATTAGCCAGAAAATGAAGATTAAGAAAGCTTAGAAACTTGACCCAACTTAAAAGAAGTAATAGACCTTGAAAATGATTTCAGGTTTTCTCACTGCACAGTATATAGACAAACACTGCTACAGTTAAAATATTTTACCCTTTGTTCTCCCTGCGTAATCTACAATAATAATCTGCTTTCTTGTTGATATTTACTGCTGTGTTGCTGACAATTAATTGAAAGAGAAGTTGGGGTGCTTCACTGGGATGGAAAAAGTATAGCTAAATCAGAAAGCAAGTCTAATTAAGCAAATTTATTCTATATATACTAGAGGCCCAGTGCATGAAAATTCATGCACTGGAGGGGGGTCCCTCAGCCCAGCCTGCCCCCTCTCATAGTCTGGGAGCCCTCAGGAGCGGGAGGTGACCCGCAATCAGGAGAAGGTAACATCCCATCACATGGTTGCTGCTGCCACTGCTGGCAGAGCAAACCTCAGCTGGCCCTGATTACCTGAGCTTTGGGAAGTCCTGGGCGGCTGGGCAGCCACCATCTGAGGCTTGCTTATGCCTCAGGGCAGCTCTGGGTGGCTGGGAAGCTGACATCTGAGGCTTGCCCGTGCCTCGGGCTGACCCTGGGTGGCTGGGGGCCTGAGGGGATTGGGGGACTCTGGAGGCAGGCATGCGGAGTGGCCAGGCCTGCCTGGTGTCACATGCCTGCCGCCCTAGCGAGGCTGAGGGTACTGGGCACCACCATCTTATGGCTGTGGGTACCACCATCTTTGAGGGTAGGGCGATCAGTTAGCACACATGTGTCAAACACAAGGCCCGAGGGCCAAATCCGTCCCGCCAGGCTTTGCAATGTGGCCCGCACCCCGCTGTCATCACTGCACTCCGCTGCGTTTCCATCACAATGACAGTTTATGACTGTTCAGTAAACCATTCGGCCCGCGATTTAGGCTGGATTTTAGATTTTGGCCCCTTCTCTGATTGAGTTCGACACCCCTAAATTAGCATATCCCCTCCTTATTGGCTGTGGGCGACTGCCTGAGGGTCAATTAGCATATTCCCCTCTTTATTAGATAGGAAAAAAGGCTAAGTTGACTTGTGTATGCACAATACATATAAAGCTCTCACTGGTGCCTACCACATGCATATGTTTCAATCTGTCATTGTTGATTGTGAATTTGGTTGACCCTTCTATTATAGAGAAAGGACGAATAGCAATATTAAAATATTTCTTTTAATTGATTTTCTTTCAATGTGCATGGATTCGTGACCAGGCCACTAGTAGGATAATAACTGGAGAAATGTTCAACAGAGTACAACTCAGTAACACTCTGACATATAGTGAAAGTATTGACTCCTGCAAAGCAGATATTCTTGATATTGTGAAGGTTAATGAAATGACCTTGTCAGGCTCTG